TAATTTCTACACTCCCCCTCAAGTTGAGAAAAATATTTTTCATTCCCAACTTGGATACCAGAAATGCATGTTGTTGGTGTCCCAAAGCCTTTGTCAAGATGTCAGTTGGTTGCTCATTACTTCCTATGTGCGCAGTCTTGATTAGCCCCTCTTGAATCTTCTCCCTTATGAAATGGTAATCAATTTCTATGTGTTTTGTTCTTTCATGGTAGATGGGATTTGCAGCAATTTGTAAGGCAGCTTTGTTATCACAATACAACTCCATATGCTCTTTAATGTCTACTGTTAGTTCCTTCAGCAAACCATTCAACTATGTCAACTCTGCCACTGTATGTGCCATACTTTTATACTCTGCTTCAGCTAAGCTCCTTGAGATAGTAGTCTGCTTCTTTGCCTTCCATGAAATGAGAGAACTCCCCAATTTGATACAGAACCCTTTAATTGATTCCTGAACATGGGACATGATCCCCAATTTGAATCACATAATCCATGAACTCTCTCTGCACTATTGTTTGACATGAGAAGTCCAAGTTCAGGCTGATCCTTAATGTATCTCACAACATGTAATGCAGCCTCATAATGAGACTTCTTTGGAGCATGCATAAATTGGCTTAGACTTTGTACAACATATGCAATGTCAGGTCTTGTGATTGTCAAATACAGAAGCTTGCCAACCAGTCTTTGAAAAAGACTTCTGTCCTCCAAGATATTGTCATCAGTATTCTCATTCACAATCTTATCAAATTCTGTGCTTGTAAGTTTCAAGTTTTGTTCCATTGGAGTCTTTTTGGGTTTTGATCCTAAGAATCCTGCCTCTGAGATCATCTCCAAAGCATACTACCTTTGAGACATAAAAATGCCTTTTGTTGATCTAGCAATTTTGATTCCCATAAAGTATCTCAACTCTCCAAGATCTTCCAGTTTGAAGTTCTGATGCAAAAATGCTTTTTATGTATTAATCTCCTCTTGATCATTACTGTAATAAATAAGTCATCTACATAGACAAGTATGAGAACAAATTTTCCATTAGTTGTTTTAGTAAACAAAGAGTAATCATGTCTGCTTTGATGAAAATCAGATTTGAGAAGTGCTTGTGTTAGCTTCAAATTCCACTGCCTAGAGGCTTGCTTCAAGCCATAGAGGGATTTGAGTAGTCTACATACCCTATGCTCCCCCTGGCTACCAAATCCCTAAGGCATAGTCATTAAGACTTCTTCATGTAAATCACCTTTTAAAATGCATTATGTACATCCATTTGATAGATTGGCCATTTTTTGAGTGCAACAACTGTTATAACAGTTCTCACTGTGGTCACTTTGGGCACAAGTGAGAAGGTGTCATGAAAGTCAATCCCTTCCTGTTGAGTATAGCCCTTTGCTACCAGTCTGGCCTTAAACCTTTCCACTGTGCCATCGACATTGTACTTAATTTTGTACACCTATGTACATCCTATAAGGACTTTGCCAGGAGGCAAATTCACTACTTCCCAAGTGTTATTTTGTTCCAATGCCTCAATCTCAAGTTTCATAGCCTTGATCCACCTGTCATCGTTTACAGTTTGAGAAAAATGAGGTTGGTTTAGTGTCAGAAGAAAATGAGGCTAGGTAGGATTGAAAAGTAGGAGAAATATGAGAATAGGGAATGAACTGATGTATAGGATAAAAAGATGAAGTGGAGGCAGAAGTAGAAGGCAGGGGAGGATGCGCATAGTCAGTCAGCCATATAGGAGGTTTAGAGACCCTATCTGACTTCCTGACTTGTGTGGGAATGGTAACTGGGACATCACGTGAGTCTGGGGATACAACATGAGTGTCAGATGATGAATCAACAGGCAAAGAAGGAGCAGAAGAGGAGGAATGAGTAGGAAAAGAAGGAGATCTAACATGGGAATTAGAGAAAGAAGCAGGTGAGTCTGTTGAATCATTTGAAGGGTCAAGTGGAGTGGTTTCTGGTTCAATATTGGTAGAAGATTCTGGTGCTATGTTAGAAGGAGAAAATATATCCGAGACAGGGTGACTAGGATTTAGATCACGAATAACTAAGAATCTGTGTTTAAGATGTTTGAAAGGAAAGATCACTTCTTTGAAATACAACATCCCTACTAATCATGAATTTGTTAGCAGCAATATCATATACTTTATATCCCTATTGTGTTGGTGCATACCCCATGAAGACTCCATGAATAGATTTAGGATTGAATTTATCATGGAAAGTCTTTGTGGCATAGCAAAGGCACCCCATTGTTCTCATGTGGTCAAAAGAAAGGGGTTTTCCATGGAACATCTCATAATGAGATTTTCCTTATAGAACATAACTGAGAAGTCTATTAATGATGTAGGTTGCTGTTAGAATGCAATCACCCCAGAATTTTAAAGGTATGTTGGCTTGAAATCTTAAGGCTTTTCCTATTTCAAGAAGATGTTTGTGTTTTTTCCCTACAACTCCATTCTGTTGTGGAGTATGCACACAACTGCTTTGATGAATTATTCCTTTGGACTTGAAAAGATTGAAACAAAGAGTGTTAAAAATTCATGTCCATTGTCTGACTTGACACATTTCTTTGATGCCACAAGAAGCTTGAACTTGGTTGATGTGAGACTGTAATACAATTGGAGGAAGAAGAGGTAGTAGCAGGTGAATGATTGAAGATGTAGAGCCCTCCTCTGAGTCTACCAATCCCCTTCACCATGCCACTGAAGAGGTCCTGAAAGATAAAAAAAATTAGGATAAAAGTGGACAGAACTATTTAACTCTTTAGTGTATTTGGAGATAGACAACATATTATATCTGAATTCAGGTACATAGAGTACACCATGAATGGTTTCTGAGTTAAATAGATTGCAAGAACCAGTGTGAGTAATTTTGGTGCTATTACCATTAGGCAGATACACTGAGAAAGATTTAGGTTCAGGTATTTGTGTGATACTTGACAAGAGATTCAAGGATGATACCATATGATTTGAAGCACCAGAATCAATAATCCAACATCTATGTTCAGGTAGTGATTTACCTGCCATGTTAGCAACTTCTGCTGGCTGAGGTTCTTTATTTAAGAGCTTGAGAATCTGCTGATATTGTTCTGGAGTGAAAGCCTGCACAGTTGGAACATTCTGCATAGCATGTGCATTTTTTTGCATTTTGAAACTCATCCCCTGCATTCACATTATGAGCCATAGGTCCACTATTGTCTTGTGTTCCTCTTCTCTTATTGTTATTGAACTTAAAACCTGGTGGATATCCATTAAGTTTATAATAAGTGTCCCTTTTATGTCCCTTCATATTGCAATAATCACATAGCAATATATTGTTCCTCCTAGGTCTCATGTTGGAAGCATTGGCAGTTACAAGTGCACTGCTGTCCATACCTACAGGTGCACTACCTAGAATCCCATTCTATGTAGCAGATCCACTACTCATTCTCTGACTTTCCTCTTGAATAATCATGGAATATGCTTGATCAAGTGTTGGTGTTGGGTGCATCATCAGTATCTGACTTCTTTGTGGTGCATAAATCTCATTTAATCCCATTAAAAACTTCATAAGTTTCTGCTGGTGTAAGAACACAACAAGTTGTCTGGACTTCTCACAGTCACAACCAGGAAATAGGATAAGCGACTCAAATTCATCCCATAGATCATTCAGCCTAGAAAAGTACACGGATATACTAGAGATTCCTTGTGTCAAGGAACTCATTTCCTTGTTCATATGGTAAATTTTTGTGCCATTCACCTTATCAAATCTATCCTTCATGGATTTCCACACCTTTTGCGCATCTGAAGAGTACACAATTCCTCTTCTAAGTTCTGGTGCTACTGAACTTCTTATCCATGACTGGACTATAGCATTGCACCGTTCCCATTGCAATAACCTAAAAATATCTTTCTCATACTGTTCTCTAGTATAAGTTCCATCTGTAAAACCTAGTTTATTCTTCACCAGTAGTGACATTATCATAGACCTACTCCATTCCGAATAATTTTCTATTCCAATTAGTAATTCTGGCACAAGTGAGATACGTAGCGTGTCCGAAGGATGTACATATAGCGGATCATTGCAATCGAGTGTTTGAGTGTTTGCATGTGATGATCCAACATCCGTATCGGGAGTATCGATGGCCATTTCAGCAAAAAGTTGATGAATTTTGAAGATTTCACAAGCAGTGAACAATTTCAGAAGAATAACGAAAAATTAGGGAAAATTAGAGATTTGGAAAAATTGATGAGATACTGGAGCTCGACTATCAGAATCGCATGGAGCCGGGCTCTGATACCCAGAGTCGAATGCAGGATTTATATTTTATGGGTTCAATTTTTAAAGTTTTAATATTGAATCCATTATATTTTTAAAGTTATGAGTTCATATCTACTATTTTTATAATTTAAAAAAAATTTACATATAAATTTTTGCTCCGCATAAAAAGTTATGGGTTCAATTGAACCCGTCGTCGACGTTCTACATCCGCCTCTGCTGATACCATGTCAAAATTAAACCCTAGGTCCGCCATGATTGAGCTCTTCATGAAGGTCGAGATCATAGATGAAAAGAAGAATAAGAGAAGAGATAGAGAAAGAAAGCTTAGCCCATTTCTTAACTGATTAAAATGAAATATACTCTACCCATCTATATAACAAACTAAACGAGCTCTTACTCTTAACTATCAACTAACAACTTATGTACACCTTCAAGAACAGTACCAATTAAATAGCCTTAGGTACAATTACATTAGGCTAATAATTTCTACAAATTTTATTATATATTTTTGTTTTGAATCATCACTATGCAAAAAAAAAAAAAACACACGAAGAAACTGAAAAAGGATATAGAGCTCACGTGAAGCGTGGTAGTTGCCAACTACTAGTTGGGGAAGTCGAGAGCGACACGACTTCGAACTGAATGACAAAAATACCCTTCCTTCTCGGAAATATCATGCATTACGCGGGTTGCCTTCCAGTTGTATGCTCCTATAATTTCGTTCATCACTATAAATACAATACCACATTTCACCCACTAATCTGTTTCTCCATCATAATTTACAAACTCTTCTGACTCTGAGAGAGAGAGAGAGAATTAAAGAGAGAGAGAGAGAGAGGATTTAAGAGTTAAGACGGAGGATTTTAATTTAATTGGTAGTCGATCTATGCAAACGAAGCAAGAATCGTCGATCAAATTGGGAGGAGTTGTTGAGTTGAAATTGGATGCTGCAGGTTCTGATTATGAGCTGGTTTGATAAGCTACGGTGTTCGTCCAATCTCAGCCGCTTCATTGCCGGCCTTCTCATCTTCATGCTTTATCATTCCAACCAATTAATTTCTAATTTCTTACTTCCTATACACCCTTAATTTCATTCATCTCATACGCCAAGTTTTCAATCTCTATTCTCTGTTTTTGCGCTCTTAGCTGTTCAAAAACAATCATTCCGATTCTTCCAATTCAAACAACCTCGCCGTTTTTGGTCACGGATAATTTCATGGAAATCAAAGATGATGATTCTGGCTCCTGTAATTTCCTTGACGGTTAGTTTCCTAATTTCCTCGAATTATATGTCCTTACTTTTCTTTCATTGTTATTTCGTTGCTTTTTCAGGAAATAATCATCCATTTTACCTGAACTGTTATGATCCTATTTTTTTTTTTTTTTTTATTTTAATGATTANCTTTTCTTTCATTGTTATTTCGTTGCTTTTTCAGGAAATAATCATCCATTTTACCTGAACTGTTATGATCCTATTTTTTTTTTTTTTTTTATATTAATGATTACTGTGTTTGATGTGATCTGTGCGAAACTTGTCCTATTTTATACTATGATACTTTTACCATTGCCGTGTTTAATGATTTAGTACTAAGTAAAGACACGCACAAACACACAAAAAAAAAAAAGAACATTGCTGATGATTAAATGATTGAGGTCATAGTAGTACAGGTTCTAATTCGGATAGAAATTTTAGGTTGGACATAGTAGAATTATCTTTCATTCGTTGAGTAATTTAACAAAAACTAAGATTGGCATTATGCTAGCAACATGTATTTCATGTGTGGACGTTATTATTAAATGGGAGTAATTCATGAATTGCCTCTGGCAAAATGTTGAACGAACAAGCACCATGTCTTCTTTCATATTTCATACGTTGTTGATGTTGGTTTGGCCTTGAAAGAAGAATAATCTCGACAAATATTGAGGTCTCGTTCAGTTTTATTTGACTTTAGGTTCTCTTTCAGAAAAAATTTCTGGGAGAAATATTTAATTCAATATATTCTATCACTAACAATATTATAATATAAATTAAAAAATAAAACGATACTATAATAACAAGTCAAAACAAAACGTCTTAAAGGGTGTAAATTCATCACAAAGTATTTTGCTTTATAAAAATAAAACAATACTATTATATGCTTTATCTTAACTCTTCACATTAAGTATTTTGCTTTTACTTTGTTGGAGCATTGAAGAACTTTATATTCATGTCCATCATAAAGAGTGTTGATATGTTTTGTTGCCTAATCTTATGATATCACCGATGGAGCTTTATCTGTTCCTTTCTTTTCATTGATTGATTAGGCATTTTACCACCCCGCTTAGGTTGGCCGCATAGTTCATCTCCATCTGTAATTGTGATTGGTGGAGGTATCTCAGGCATAGCTGCTGCACGTTTCCTTCACAATGCATCTTTTAAGGTGGGCATACTCAGGATTTAAAACTCTTTAACATGTAACAACAACCTTTTACTCTTTCATTCTTAAAAGAAATGCTTCCTATATTTGTCCAGGTGCTCTTGTTGGAGTCACGGGATAGACTTGGTGGCCGCATACATACCGACTACTCATTTGGTTGCCCAGTTGATATGGGAGCATCATGGTGCGAAAATTTGATTTTCTTCTCCCAAATTGTCTTTCCAAATCTGGAAGTTTATGCCTTTTAATCTGCAATTAATTGACTTTGATAATTAAATGTTTTTTCAGGCTCCATGGGGTGTGTGATGAGAATCCTTTGGCTCCACTGATACGTCGATTAGGGCTCACCCTATATCGCACTAGCGGTGATAACTCAGTGCTGTATGACCATGATTTAGAAAGGTAACCTGGATGACATTACATTGTTTAAATGATTTTTTTTCATGAATTAATTTGCATTTTCCCTCTTTTGTGCGCTATCCCCCCCCATAATGGGTGTTAAACTTTTACTTGCTATAAGTCTTCATCCTGATTCAACCAGTCAGAATATTGGCACTAACGAACTTGTAGTTTGTTTTCGAACTTCTTCACTTGTTTTCGAAAGTGTCTTTGGTTCTTTATACTTTAGTTCTTTTTGAAAATCAAAAGGACTTACAATTAGCCTGGGTGGAACAGATTTTAGTTGCCTTCAGAGTTCCCATATGGTCTGGTTTCAAAGCTTCCTGCATTTGCTGAATTTTTGCCTGTGCCTTTTATATTTATTTGTGCAAATTAACCAGAGAATGCTATCACGTCAGTCAGGAGCTTAATTGTGTTTCCCTTTCCTTTTATAGTTTCATGCTTTTTGACATGGATGGTCATCAAGTTCCTCAAAATACAGTTGTTCAAGTTGGAGATGTATTCAAGAAAATCCTCAGCGAGGTTGGTCTTTAATTTTAAATCGCTCGCCAATGCTATGCTAAGAATTTTTTAAAGAGAGAAATGATGATTATTTGTGTTGTTAATGCAGACCGAGAAAGTGAGGAATGAGCATAGTCATGACTTGTCGGTTCTTCAAGCAATATCTATTGTACTGGACAGGCATCCAGAGTTGAGGTATGAAGACAAAGTGCTTCTCATAGGACCTGCTATTGTCTGTTGAATGTGTAATCTAGTTATATATGCACATAGATATTGAGTTATTTGTGCTGTAGGCAAGAAGGACTTTCCCATGAGGTGTTGCAATGGTACATATGCAGAATGGAGGCATGGTTTGCTGCAGATGCAGACACGATCTCTCTGAAAACCTGGGATCAGGCAAGTGTTCTTTCATTTATTGTTATTAAAACAGTTAATTGGTGTTTGAAGCAGTTTCTAATTTCATTATCATGCTCAGTTGAGGTCTTATTTCGACATATACAAACTTCCAAAGGAATGAAACAGGGCTTTACAAGATATAGCTAGCAGTAGCTTACTTTGACTTATTCCCGCATTGCCAATTGGCACAACCATTTGATAGATATATCCTTGAAAATATATGATAAATTGAGTTTTTAGCAATATTGATGGTTATATTTCGCATGCAGGAACAAGTTCTCACTGGTGGTCATGGACTTATGGTGCAAGGTTACCACCCAGTCATAAAGGCATTATCAAAAGACATCAATATTCGTTTAAGTCACAGGTGCGCATTGGGTTCTCTAAAACGCGGAAGTGCTACTTTTTTTCTTTGTTTCTCTAGATTATCATACTCTTGTCAAACTCACATTGATGCAGCTACAATGACTGTTAAACCACAGATGAATTTTTATATTCCTATTTCTATTATAAGAAATGAGGTCACCTTTTTTATACCTTGTGGTTACTTGATTTCCGAAGAATATTAAAACAAAATGTTATTCCTTTCCTCAATGGGGAAATAATTTTCATGTTACACCTCAACAGCCGAAGATGAATATCTCCTCTGTCTTTCCCCCATAGTATTTCCAAAGCATTTAGTACTTTCCAGTTATTCTCTAGAAACTAATTAGTTTGTATGGATTTACTAGGGTCAAGAGGATTACGAATGGGTATAACAAGGTGATGGTTACAGTTGACGATGGGAGGAATTTTGTCGCGGATGCTGCTATTATAACTGTGCCTCTAGGTGTTCTTAAAGCCAACTTGATTGAGTTTGAACCAAAATTACCAGAATGGAAGCAATCTGCAATAGCAGATCTTGGTGTAGGCAATGAAAACAAGATTGCATTACGATTTGATAACGTATTTTGGCCGAACGTGGAATTGTTAGGTGTTGTTGCACCTACTTCATATGCTTGTGGTTATTTTCTTAACCTCCACAAGGCAACAGGACATCCGGTCCTTGTCTATATGGCTGCTGGAAGACTTGCTTGTGATCTTGAGAAATTATCAGACGAATCTGCTGCTGAGTTTGCAATGCTGCAGCTGAAGAAGATGTTTCCGGATGCTACTAAGCCTGTAAGTAATTTCTGCTCCTACACAAAGTGAGTTATAACTCTAAGCTACTGACATGCATGAGAAAGGACTGGATTTCTAAAGTGTTGCACCCATGCTAATTTATTTTGGTCTATATTTGCTTTAATTGGTGAGTGCACATCTCATTTTTGATCATTACAGTTTTGTAATAGCTCATTTACACTTCTTTAACCCAAGAAGGTAAAAAATCATATGCAGAAGAGAGAAATATAAAAATAGAAGGATAAATGAGGAAGCAGCTCCGTCAGCTGTCACTTTCATTAATTTCTTATTCTGGTGATGAAGTTTTTCTTTCTACACAGACTACAGAAGGGAAAGTGATGCATTTTCCCTTTTATTGATTACAACCAAACACCTGCATCTGCTTATCTAACACTCCTATAATATAAACCTTGTTTAACTGAAAGAAACAGATAGTAGTTGTGCTGGTAGTTAATCATCTGGTACATTGTACAGGTTCAGTATCTT